AGNTTCCTATATATATATATATATATATATATATATATATATATATATATATATATATATATATATATATATATCTATTTTCCGGGTCTACTTTTTCCGGGATTCAAAAAATTTATTAAATAAAAAAAATAAATGTTTTTTATGATTAAAAAAAAAATCAATATTTTCGCTGTAGTTTCAAAACTTTGAAATTACGGTGAAATTATTAATCCTAAGAAAAGAACATAAAGAACACTTTTTTTATATAATAAAATTTTAAACAACTTTTGTTTCAAAAAAATTTTTATAGGACCAATATTTTTGCCATAATATCAAAAATTTTAACCATTCATAATGATTTGCTATTTTGAATTTGCGACAAAAATCTTGGCACTAGTTATCACAAATAATTTCAAAATTAATCAATAAATTTTCCAAGTAATTCAAATAAATTAAAAATAAAACTAATAGTGAAAGACCCGTTAAAATAAAAATAAAATTACCGTTATAATCATCAATACACTCAGCATTAATCATTTGTTGAATTTGTGCACCAGCTTCAAGTACCGGATCAACAGGTTTTATTTGAACTGCCAATTTAGCTTGATTTTCATCAGACCAAGACAATTGCGGCTGGAAATTATTAAGAGCAAATTGGGTCTTGTTGCCATAAAATAACCCAACACGTGCGAGATTCTGTCGGAATTCCGATTTAACGCCTATTTGGATCAGATCATTTTCAAACAGCACCCCGTTGTTTCTACAAACGAATCTAAAACAACAACAAAAAAAAAACCATAAAAAATTTATAATTTTTTTTTTCAATTTCCTAAATTTTTTTTTTCTTTTTTTTAAATCTATCTTCTCTTTACAGATGCTATTTATTGTATATAAACATTATTAAAAATTCTACACATGAAAATGTAACATATTGTTGTAAATTGCCGAGAGCGTTTCTTTACAAATAAATTTTAAATAAATAAAATAAATATAAAATACATACTTCTTAGGATTGTAAGAGTTTTGCGCGCCATTGGTAGCGGTAACTTTACTAGGCGCATTATAAATATCCCCTAGAACATCCAGCAGCATTCCAGTATTACTAGTAGGTTGAGAAGAAGGCGGAGTAGACAGTCCCAGTAAGTCAGCAGAAGAACTGTTGACACTAGCAGCTGCAGCGGTACCAATGGTAGCAGAAATCGCAGTAGCAGTTTCATGATTAGCGCTCGGAGCCGGGCTTTTATTCTCTCTGATTTCATTCTCCGGTATCCGTCCAGGTTTCTTTTTCTTAAGCACAGCCAGAATGGAGCTTTCACGCTCGGGGAATGCCGGCATTTCTTCAAGCACAGTCGCTAATACGTCTGTAGATGCGATAATACTCAACTGCAAATACTCAGAAGCGCGTTGCTGTAATTCAGCGTCAGCACTGCGCAAGTTACTGTGTGTCCTGAAGACATCTTGAATTTGTGTACGTATCTCAGGAAATAAATTAACAAACTTAATATAAGTCGACAGTAGCAGTGCGCGCGTCATCGGTGAACACAAATGATATTTGGAATGTAATAACTGGAATTGTACTGCCGGTGACGAGCGAGCGTCTCCAGCAATTAAATTACCGAATTCACCGAGAATATAACCACCAACTTTAACCATATTTTCATGACAAGCCGGAGCTTGCAGTGCTTCGAATACAGTTTTAGCAGCGTAGCCTTGGACATCGTCGCGATTAATAACTATTTGTATTACTCGGTACCAAACTTCTTCAGAAACATAATCCCCAGCTATCCTTATCAAATTTAAAATAACGTCGACGTACCACGTGTAGTCAGTCGCGTATTTTTCCGCGAGTATCGCGACTTTTAAAACCATTTCTTCGCGAATTGAATAATCAGCTGTTTCAAGATAATTAAGCATCTCTTGGACTATTTCTTCAGCGTTGCTTTTATCGCACATCGCGTAAAGTAAATCAACAGCTTGCTGACGCACCGAGACGTCTTTTTCCATCTTCATAGACAGTATAACGACTTCCTGATGTTTCTTTACAGCTTCATGGGAAAATTCAGACGTCGCTAAATGACACATTGACTCTAGAGCGAGGTACCGCAAATTGGTCTCGCGGTTTGATAGAAATTGTCCAAGCTGATTGCAAGCTCGTACCAGTAAATTCGGCTCGCTGTCGTTGTGGATAATTAAACTTATTGCTTCAAAGAGTACTGCGTTTTTGGCATTTGAGTGCTGGACTTTTTTAGACTTTGGAGGCTCTTGTGCTTTGTTGAGAATCGTTTCTAGACACTCGTTCAAGCGACCACGCACTCCCGGGTCTTCAGCCGGCGGGGTGTAATTCTGGAGAAGACGAAGCAGTTTTACAGACAGCCAGGGCGCGGGGACGAAGTAGTAAGTGTAATCTTGAAGATCGGTGTAATTGGCGGTTACTATTCTGCTGAGACGCGACACTGCAAGGCTAACGCACCCTTTGTACTCCTCCGGGTTACGTTTTACCAGAGCGTCGATCAAGGAAGCGGCTGCTGTTACTACTCCGAGGTGCTGGTCGTTTAGAAGGTGGACGATCCGAGATGTCCATTCTCCTCCGGGAACTACTTCCGGGGCTGTTCGTAAAAGTCGCAGCAGGCATAGCGCTGCACTCTGCTTCACTACATCCATCGTGTCCCTGAATAAAGTTTTAGATTTAGTGTAAATTAATTATAAGTCGCTGCCTTTTGAATAATTTTTTTAATTGATATTGTTTGATGGATTTTTGTGTTGTAATTTTTTTTTTTTTTTATTTTATTTTGTTTAGGAATATTCAATTTAATTTTTTAGGGGTTTTAAGATTGCGGTTCAAAATTTATTAGTATTAAAGTCACGCACGCTTCCGGTACACTTTACTTGCAAACTAAAAGAGTTAGACTTCCGTTAAAGTTTTTAAAATTAAATAAAACTTATTTCAGCGTTACTATAAATTAAAAATTTTTTTAAATTTTAATTTAAGGGGGATAGCCACTATGAAATTTAAAAAAAAACAAAATTTTTTTTTTTATTAAATCAAAGTTTATACATTCAAAAATATGTATCGAGTTTTGGATAAATCGCGACCCAAATTTACAGCAGCTAGATAGAGTTTTATGCCGCAAGGGCGTATAAAAATTTTTTTTTCGCCATTCAACTTAAAACTGCTCAAAGCGTAAACGGCTGCTCAATTTTAAAACACAGTAACTGCAAAATTTTTATGCCGGATTTTTTTTAGTATTACTGCATTTCTTATAACTTTTAGACCTTAATTTCAAATATTTTCTCTTAAAAATATTTATATTCAAGTATTTTCTATTCATAAATCAATTTTTTTATCAATCTGGTGTGCAAATTTTTTTTAATACGAAAAATTTTTAAAAATCTTAAAATTGTCAGTTACTGTGTTTTGAAATTGGACAGCCGTAAAGATTTGTCAAAACAAATTTTTCAATGTACTAATGACAAAAGGGCATATCTCAAAGCATACGCCCTTTTGGCTTTAGAAAAAGTTTAGCCTAAAGCCAAAAAAACTTTCAATTTTGCTCTGAAATAAAATTTAACGTCCTTTTGGCTTTGGAAATTTATTTTTTTATTTTTAGGCTTAGAAAGTGTTAATAAAATGATTAGTAAAAGAAAAAAAAATTTATACGCCCATTTTGCACTGCAAAGTCAAAAAAGCGTATAAATTAATATGCTCCCTTTTGACATTTGGGTCGCGAAATATGAACCGATTTGCAGCTTTTTTTTCCGTATTCATCTACTCAGTAACTATAGTTGCACGTAGGGGATTTTGAAAATTTTGATTTTTAAGATTTTTTAGGGCTGTTTGAATCCAAAAAAATGAGAAAAAAAAAAAACGAAAAAATTTTTAATATGTTGCCATTTTTTTAAATCCAAATTTCCAAAATCCCCTAGGTGGAACGATAACCACATGCATACAGATTACAACGCAGTTTGGTTTTTTTGTTTTAGATAATCCGTTTTTGAGTTAGAGATCCCACTGTGGTGGGGGAAATTTTTTTAGTGCTCCAAAAAAATTCTTATAACTTTGTAACAACATGATATTTATTAACCAAAATTTAGGAGAATGATCTTCAATGTATACTTTGTAAAACAAAAAAATCCGATCCCCAAATTCCTTTACTATCCCAGTCAAAAAAATTCCCGAAAATCACCAATTTTTTCTATCCCCCTTAAATCATACAGTAAGGCTTGACTAAAATAAAATCAATTTTTTCTCACTTGAAGGGTAACGAGCAATTGATTAAAAAAAAAATGGTGAGACTGAAAGGTGAAAAATACTCGAGATCTAGATTTTTAAAGCTAAGCTTTAAAATTTTACCTAATATCCAGTCGTCTAGATCCAAGCGGTGTTTGATGTAAGTGTAAGTGTTAGATGTAGAAAAATAAAACATGGCCTTATAGGTGAGCGGGAAACTTACCCAGAAACAAGTAACTTGGGGATTTCATTTCCAAAGGCCTCTGCCATTTCTTTACTACCGATGTTCGCGATACATTGGAGCGCCAGATTAACGTGGATTGGGTTACGAGATCCCAAGTCATTTTTTATGCTTTGTATTATTAATTTTATGAGATCACTGTTGGTATTAACCAGCACTGAGATGAATAGGTACCCCTGTCGATAAAATATAAATTATTAGTTTAATTTAAATTTACAAGTTGTGAATTATCAGTAGTGATTATTATTTTTGGTACGTACAATTTGTTTTTCGGAGTATTTATTCGATGATAATAAATTAACAGCTTCCATATGTCCGAAATCGATATCATGACCAAGTAAAAATATAAACAATAATTTGCAGACGTATTTTTTCTTTTGGTATCCATCGACAGTTTTGTCTCCTTTAAATTTACTTCTTATATTTGCTAATTCCTTATTTATCCTCTTTATTTCGGCCTCCTTACTTTTACCTAAATAACAAAAAAAAATTATTTATTAATTAAATTATTTATTAACAATAATCAAAATTAATGGCTGACTGCCATTTATCTTGACCTTTAAATTATATTTGTCTAATTTTTAATTATATAATCAGGATTTAATAAATTTCCTAATCTTATTAGATGTAAATCATCGACATTATAATTGTTATTATTACTATTTTTTTAAGATATTTAAAATCTCTCATTTAATTCATTAAAATATTTTCTATCATGTAGATACTGTATCACTGCTCCGCCCCCAAAAGACTAACACTCTTACTTGCATCATACTATTTTTTTTTTTTTTTTTAATCATCTCTACTCACGTACTCATTCTCTCACAATACATTACGCTCAATAGTAAATCGCAATATCTTATTATTAATACGTTATTTATTACAAAATACATAGAAATATATTTATCAGATTTCTTTGAAAAATTATTTTTATTTATTTAAATATTCTATTAATAATTTATTTCAGTTAAAAACTGTGACTAAATTCTTAAAAAAAAATTATTTCTCTAGTTAAAAAAATCAATTAAAAATAAAATTAATCAATTGATAAAAACTCCAATTAAAATAAATTTTCAGCTACCAAATAAGATAATAATTAATTAAAATTAAATATCTTACTCTCAAACTAATTATCAACAAATCTATTATAATACAATCATATAATAACGCTCCAATAGACAATTACAATTTTATCTTTCATCAGTTTTACAACAAACTTATTATCAGAGAAATAAACTCCATTATTCTAGTTAACTAAAAAATTTAATTTAAATTCACCTAAATTATTTTAATACAAATACAATTATCATCAAAATAATTACATCATTACTATTGTTATTTTATCGTTCATCGAACTTGCTCCAATTTTATTGTTAAAGTCAGCTAATATTTTATAAATATTTTTTAACAAAAAAAATTAATTAATTAATAATTTAACATGAAATAATTAAGTAACAAGTGGTGTTAAAATCAGAGCTTTAATTATTTAATAAGATGTAGATTAATATATAACATTGTGATGAAAAATTGTAAAAAGCAGTTGTTACTTTTGTACAATGTTAAAATAAAAATGAAAATTAAGTTAGCCGACATTTAAAAATTTTTAGAATTTTTTTTTTTTTGAAAAAATGATTAAAAAAAAATTTTCACTTGTAAAAAATTTGAAAAACTGTAAGTGCAATTTTTAAATAATATTTTTTTGTTCTAATTTAATTAATGAAAATTAATTTAGCAGATATTTTATAGTTTTAAGAATTTTTTTAACAGTTAAATTATGTCAAAGAAAATGATGAAAATTAATTTAGCCGACATTTAATAATTTTTAAATTTTTGTAACAAATAAATTATGGCAAAAAATTAGAAAAAAAAAATTGACAATTTTTTGGAACAAATTTGTTTGTTAAAAAAAATTTTTTAAATTGTCAAGTGACTGCTAACTTTAATGTCATAAGAAAATGAGAAAAAAAATTGACATTTAGAAAATTAAATAAATAAAAAATGCAATTTTTTAGAAATAATTTTTTGGAGCAAATTTACTTATTAAATAAAATTAAAAAATTGTCAAGTGACTGCTAGCTTTAATGTCATATTTAATTATTAAAAAAAAAATCAAAAAAGTAAAATCGTCGGCTAACTTTAGTATTATAATAATAAAAAGATAACTTACAATTTCTAATATCTGAAATGAATACAGCGAGTCCACGCATGCCATCCCCACGTACGGCCGGCATCTTGCTATCTTCAGCTTAGAACCACCTGATGATAAAAATCATATCCAATGTCACTAACTGATCAAAAAATTTTTTAAATAAATTATAAATTATTTTTTCTATAAATAGACAAAAAAAAAAATAGTTCACTGAAAAAAAAAAAAATAAAATAAAAAAAAATAGAGTAAAATAAAATCAATATCACGTCGCTCATTATCCACTTGTCAAACCCAGCAATTATATTTTAACAGCACAAATATAAAGCCAAAATTTGGTAATCGATATCAATAGACATGATAGTATATATTTTTAATTGATAAATAAAAAATTTAATTAATATTAAATAAATAAATAAAAAATTGGAGCGGATAAATTTTAGTCAGTATTTTGAACCACCGGTGGCTGGTATAAAATAATAAAAATAAATGGCGACCCAATTTTGACAGAAAAGTTAAAATTTTGACAGCAGGTCGTGCTCTAGCGCGCGCATCATCAAAAAGTCAAAGATCGAGCGACTGGTGCTTGAAGTATGAAGGAGACAACTAAGCCCAAGTCCCAACTTGGAATTGAATGCTCTGTCTTCAATTACTTCAATATAACTACAATTGCTGATAATTCAGTTAATTGTCTTGTCTTACAACTTGGATATTATAAATATTCCAGTGCGTATTGTATTAAATTTTTTTAGACTTGTTAGAATTTTATTTTTTTAGTCCATTTAAATTGAAGATTTAAATAGATCAAAAAAACGGACGTTGGAGAGTGGAACGAAAATGTACCATGCGAGGAATTCGCCGAAACCCTCCCTGTTTACTTTCTAGGTGTTATTGGGATAAATAAAAGTGAGTATTAGGATTTTTTAGATAGATAAATGGGATAATAACTTACCGATTTGGGAGAAGAACAATTACGCGAACTGCTTAACTATGGTTAACACCCAAAAAAAATAGTTTTATTAAATGTATGTCGTTGCCACGAATTTAGTGGCTGTCGCCATTTGCAACCGTTGACTAGTATGACGGAACGAGCTTTGGAGCTTCGTTAACGTACGAGTGACATCGGTGCGCAGATTCAACGCCCGCGCCTGCGTCATTTTACTGCGCATGATTTCGAAATTTAACCGCGTTTATTTAAATTTGTCATTTTGACAGTTTTGTAAATGAAGCAGACAAATTCTCTAATTATACTGAAATTAATTTTTTAATTCTAATTTATTTTTTAATTAATACCAATGATATTAAAGTTAGCCGACATTTTTAATTTTTTGATTTTTTTTAATAATTAAATTGGAACAAAAAAAAAATTTTTTTTAAATTGCACTTACAGTTTTTAAAGTTTTTTACAAGTGAAATTTTTTTTTTTTAGTTTTTTTGTAATCATTATTTCAATAAAAAAAAATTATTAAAATTTTTAGATGACGGCTAACTTAATTTTCATATAATACCAAACTAAAATTGAGAGATCTGATAATATTTTTAATTTTTTTACCTACTAAATTATAGCAAGAAAAATTCATTTTAAAAATTCCATCTTTAGAAGGCTTCAGAAAATTATGAAAATTAATAAGTTAGCCGACATTAAAAAAAATTTTTTTTTTTTAAATTACTAAAAAAAAAAAATAAAATTTTCACTGGTAAAAAACTTTAAAAACTGTAAGTACAATTTTTAAAAAATTTTTTTTCGTTCTAATTTAATTATCAAAAAAAAATCAAAATATTAAACATGTCGGCTAACTTTAGTATCATCAGAAAATTATGAATGCAATTTTTTAAAAACAATTTTATGTTACTGAAATTAGCAGACATGTAATAATTTTTATAATTGAAAAAATTATTTCAAAAAAATTGCACATCTAAATAATTTGAAAAACTGTCGGTATAAATTTTTTAAATATTTTTTTTCTTCACTAATTTAAAGTAAAAGACCCAATTATTGACACTGGCCTAATTGTTTGACTCTATGAGAATAATTTTGGCAGATATTTGATAATTTAAAAAATTTTTTTAACAAATAAATTATGACAAAAAAAAATAGAAAACAAAATTGACATGTAGAAATTTCAAGAAATAAAAAATGCAATTTTTTAAAAATTATTTTTGGAAAAAATTTATTTGTTGAAAAAAATTAAAAAAAGATCAAGTGACTGCCAACTTCAATGTCATTTTGACACTTGCAATTTTACTCTAATTAAAAAAATAAAATGTTCTCAAAAAAACAATTATCTTGAAATTTATAATTCAAAAATTATATTTATTAATTTTTTAGTTGATTTGTTTTTTTTTTTTATTAAAATAAAATTGCAATTGTCAGTAACTGGGCCAGTGTCAATAACTTAATCTTTAACCTTATTTCGGAAATAAAACCTTAAATTTGACAGCTGTCTGCTGACTTCAGTATCATAAAATTTTCTAGACTTAGTTTATTATTTGATAAAAATCAAGAAATTGTCAAATGTCAGCTAACTTCAGTAAAATTAATTTTCAAATAATTAAATTACAAAAAAAAATATTTATTTTAAAATTCTTAACAAATATTATTGAAATTATAATATTTAAATTTTAATGTAAATAGATAGAAAGTTAATAATTTCAAAATACATGAAAAGTATCTAATTATAATAAATTAGTAAAAAATTCTATTTTTAAATAAATTAATTAGCTGAAGCTTGAATTTTTTGTAACAACATTTCAATCCGATCTTTCATTACAGGTTGTCCTTTTTTAGTTCTTTTGCTCAATTTTTTGAAAGTTTCAAATCTTCTTTCCTTAGACCTTTTTATTGCTTCTTCTCTTTCTTGAGCTTTACGAATAAATTCTTCTTTTTTTGCTGCCCGTTCCTTCTGAAGATTTTCTTGCTTCTCACGTATTTTATCCAAATTTCTAAAACGAAAAAAAATTTTTGTTGAAGTAAAATTTAAAATTAAATAAAAAAAGTCAATAATCAATTACTCAAACTTACTTATTTCCACGTGTGTCGCGACTAGCTATTGATTTTATAAATTTTTTAGACACGTGAGCTTCATTTTTCAGTTCATGCAACAACAAGTTCTTCCTCTTCGACACCCATTTATCAACTGTAAAAATTAATACAGCACAAATTAATTTTAATTAATAAATTAAAAAAAACAAGTAAATAATTAATAAAAAAAAAAAATAGATGAAAATAAAAACAGAGCACATAACCAAAGCTTACCTTTGTAGTTATTACTATACTTTGCTTGTCTGTATTTTTTTTTATCAAGTCCCACAGTTTTATTTGACCCGCTCGCTGAGCTGTCATCACTGTTTTGATTTTTTTTGGGAAAACGGCCCATATTTATAAATAAATTATTAAATTCAGTGTTTATAGCTCCAACAAAATAAAACAGACTTCAACAGAACATGAGGAGCTGTAATGTAAATTTAAATAAAGAAATTACAATCCCTCTACAGTTGAAGCTGCGAACAACTACTTACCCGCTATTTTATTCAAATGGAAAAATTTTATGAAAATTAAGGTAGCAGATATTTAATTAATAATTTAAAAAATTTTTGTAAAAAATAAATTATGGATGATGATAATATATTTAATAATTTTTAGAATTTTTTTTAACAAATAAATTATGGCAAAAAAAAAAAAATTGACATTTAGAAATTTTAAAAAATAAAAAATGCAATTTTTTAAAAATAATTTTTTAGAGCAAATTTTTTTGTTAAAAAAAAATTAAAAAATTCTCTAGTGAGTGCTAACATTAATGTCATAAATTATGGCAAAAAAAATTAGAAAAAGAAAAATTGATATTTAAAAATAAAAAAAAAAAATAACATATGCAATTTATTAAAAATAATTTTTTGGAACAAATTTGATTGTTAAAAAAAATCAAAAAATGTCAAGTGACTGCTAACTTTAATGTTATAAAAATTTCCTGTTAATTTCATCTTATAGAGAGCATGGCATAAATAAAAAATTATTAAAAATATTTAAATTCATAAATTTTGGTCCGAAGATAAAAATTAAAACATTTTATAATTTTAATTTGAAAAGATTGAAAAATCTTTTCAATAAATATTCGAGTTATTTATAGAATTCAAAATTGTGAACTATCATCTTCAATAATACTGAAGTTAGCCGACTGCTGTCAATTTTTTGAATTCTTCTAACAAATCTATTACAATAATAAAATGCTTTTAAAAATTTCCACTAATAATTTTTTTTATTTTCACATCTGGAATTTATTTATTAAATTTTTTTCATTGTAAATTCATTGTTATAAAATTATAAAAAAATATGAAAATTAATGTAGCAGATATCTGATAATTTTTGTAACAAATAAATTATGGCAAAAAAAATTAACATGTAGAAATGTTAAAAAATTAAATAATTAAAATCAATTTTTCGGAACAAATTTTTTTGTAAAATAAAATTAAAAAATAATCAAGTGATTTTAATGTCAAGACTGCTAACTTTAATGTCATTAAAAGAATTTATAGTGCTTGTTAACTTCAGTGTCATTATATAATCTTCATAATTATAAGTTAAAAATTTTTAATTGGAAGAATATAAAATTAACTACAAAATTATTTTAATATCTAGAATATTGTTCAACATTCATAATTACAACAATGCTTCAATATTCGTCCGACGATCATGCTTATCATTCAACAAAATGCGTCACATATCTAATAAACATTTAAAACCGCTGCAAAATTATCCAATTATCGATAATTTACAGGTTTAACAAGTTATCTACTGACCATGAAATAATTTACTTGTTTTTGTATTTCTAAGTTTCAAGTTATTGAGTTAGCAATAAAAATATACAATGAGGCTCCATTTCTTCATATTCATCTGCGTTGTAAATTCAGTCTTCGCGGTAAGTAATTACCTAAATATTTCCATTAATTTTCAAGCCTCTAGATTTGATTTATTGAATTCATTCAGCAATTGCCAAATGAAGACGACAAACATGGAATTGGAAATGTTCAACACGAAGAAACACCCTGTGGTATCGAAGCTTTAATCTACGGCGGGGTTGGGTATACAAACACCCGTCCAGGTCCATTGTTTGATGACGAGTATCTTCCGACATGTAGCTGCTACCAAAATTTATTCGAATCTCAGAGGAATTATATCTACGAGGACTTGAAACTCTACAAAGCCTCCAGTGGATCGGGTGGATACGGAGAGTTCCAAGGATTCGGCGGTGGCGATATTACGGTATTTCTTCTTAGATAAATTTCTTCATTTTTTTAGTTTAAACATAAAATAATAAAGTTAACTGACAGAAATTTTTTTATAATTTTATAGTAATAAAATTATTATGAAAAAAATTTAATAAAAAAATTACAAATCTGAAAATTAATGAAGATTATTACTAGAAATTTTTTAAGTATTTTTTTTTAATTTATTTGTTCTAAAAATTAAAAAAATTGACCATTGTCAGCTAACTTAAGTATTATTTAAATATATATTTTTTTTTATTTCAATAGCTACCAGGAGTGAATTGCATCGATAATGACAGAAAACCGATCACTGGACCTGAACGTTCTGGAATAACTTATCAGGTAAACTTGAACAGAACTGTAATGACTGTGAAGGAAAATGAGTATTTCACGGCTGGACCTGAAGGAAACAATAAAAATGGATATAATTATATTGAATTTTCTAAAACAGTAGACGAGGATAGCACCTTCAAGTTGGTAATTATTTAGTTATTTATTTATTTATTTATTTATTAGATTTATATGCCAAAAAGCTTAGCTGGATGGCAATTATGCAAAGTTTAGATGTAATTAATGAGTAATAACTAAATAGTGTAATTAAATAATAAAACAGAAAGATTACAATACAATGCAATACAATAAATTACGAGTTACATATGAGTAACTTCAAACAAACCAAACTGAATAATTTAATAGGGCTACAAACTGCTTGATAGTTCAAGATTGAAGAAGAATTCAAACGCTTTATTTTTTAAGCTCTCAAGAATAGGAGTTATGAATACTAGATACTAATTATAATAATAATTACATACATAAAATCCCTTACTAAAAAAAAAAAATTCTACATCATTTATTTATTAAAATCATTAAAAAAAATTTGAAGCAATTCAAAATAATTTGAGTTGACTACCATATAGATATACACTTTGCATGGATTGAATTGTTTTATTTTTTTTTTTTTTTTTTATAAGTAGATTCAGATCGAAGACGAGCCAAATCGGTCGATTAGTTTAGAAATGACAGCAATTAAAAAATTTTAAAAACTCGCAAAAATTTTTACTTCTACTGTTTTTCCGCGCAATAACCATTGAACACGATATCCTATCACATTTATGTAGATTGCATGTAGAAGCTTAATAAATAAGCTTTAATTTGCATGCTTTTTTTTTTAAATTAAATAGTTTAGAATAATAAAAATTAGAATTCTTCAAAATTCTCAAAAATTGATACTTTGACTGTTTCTTTACAAAATAATTGTTGAATGCAATAACTTGTAAAATTTTTGTACATTACATCTGAAAGCTTAATTAATAAATTAGCTTTAATTTGCGTATCTAACCATCGGTCTATGCCAAAAATTACCTACTATGTTTATCTATTTAATGGAATTTCATGCTTGCATTCATTTTAGAAATGATTATTTTAGATGTAAATTTGGTAATTTGGGCTTGTACGAAGTACTTAAAATCATCACATGTTTATATCATAATTTTATTCTTCTCAACAGGGTAAAGTATCTCTGAAAAATGGAAAGAAATTAATTTTCGATTCTTCAGATCATGTTGACCAGGATAGCATGAAAGATATTTGTGAAAAACACACACCAAGGTCCATAGAAGATAATCTGATGAAAATATTGAGAGCTGGTATTTTTAATGACTCTGAGTGTCCAATAATGGAGGTGATTATTTTCTTTCATTAAATTTTAGTAGCCAATATTTTAGAATTGAAATTGTTTTTTGTTTTTTCAGGGATCAAATTTCACTGCGCCGAATAGTATAGACCCATTTTTAATGACATTCAATCAAAAAATGAATTGTGGGTATTACTTACTTAATTATCAAATAGACACACCAGATACTGATGACGCGTTGGCTCTTTATTACATATTTGAAATAAAAGAGGACGAGGATTGTCTTAAAGAAGAAAAATGAAATCATTTATAATTTCTTAATTTTTGTGAAACTGTAATTATCGGATATTCGATCATTTTTTTCATTTTTAACAAATAATTTATGAGAATGAGAAATTTGTCTTGAAGAAATTGTAAAAAATAAAATAGAAAAGCTTACCATGAATAATTTATCCGTACCGATTTGTTTAATGATACTGAAGTTAATTGATATTAGAAATTTTTTATCATTTTATAATAATCAAATTTTTCATAATGAAAAAATTCTACTTGTGAAAATTAAAAAAAATTATTAGTGGTAAATTTTTTAAAGAATTTTTTTATTGTAATTAATTTGTTAGAAAAATTAACAAAATTGACAACTGTTAAAAAAATATTCAAATATCAGCTGATTTCAGTATAATTAATTCTCTTGAGTTTCAATTTTCATTATTGTAATGGAATAAACAAAAAATAATGACACTGAAATTATCAGACACTTGATATTTTTTTGTTGTTTTTTCTTCAAAAATAATCTAAATATAGAAAAAATTATTTTTAAAAAATCTTGTTTATCATTTTTTAGAAAAAAATTCTAAAAATTATCAGGCGTCTCTCAATTTTAGTATCATAAAAATGTACCTGTATTATTGATGAAAAAATTGCATGAATATTAAATTAGCCGACATCTGAAATTTTTAGTAATTTTTTTCACTGAAAAAATTAAAAAAAAAAAAAAAATAAAAAAAACTTTTTATTTGTAAAAAGCTTGAAAAATTATAAGCACAATTTTTAAAAAATATTTTTTAGTTCTAATTTAATAATTAAAAAAAATTCCAAAAATTAAAAATGTCGGCTAACTTTGGTATCATAAAAATTGCATACTTCTTGATAAATTATAACCTAAAAAAAAATTATGTTGTGGTTAAAGCAATTAATTATTGTGAAAAAAATAAATTTATAAATTAAAAAATACCTTATGTGCTGTAATTTCTTAAATCAAACAAAAAAATAATTTTAAAAAGCATTTTTAGAAAACAGCTGTCAACAAATTTCAATATTATTTAATTCCAACTAATATTTAATCATCTATGATACTAAAGTTATCCGACATTTTTAATTATTTGATTTTTTTTAATAATAAAATTAATACGAAAAACTATTTTTAAAAAAAATCACTTATAGTTTTTGAAGTTTTTTACAAGTGACATTTTTTTTTTTAATTTTTTTGTAATAATTTTTTCAATAAAAATAATTCTAAAAATTTTTAAATGTCGGCTAACTTAATTTTCATTTATCATCTTCTTCCGCCGAAAATTACAATTATTTACTGATTACCTAAAAAAAAAAAAAATAAAAAAAAGTGTATTTAAAAATGCCGCTACCGACGAACCAGCAGCACATGCGCATAGGATACAATCATAAAAATTAATGTACTTTTTCTTCCCTAACCATACATACATACATACCGTATAATAGTCTTTTGGTTTTACCTTCGAATCATACCCACCACAAAGTTAACAAATAAATAATCCAGTGACTAAGTAACGAGACCATAATTCAATATACCCACCTGTAAACAAAGGTACAGTACAAAAAGTAATTAATTTTACCAAAAAAGACCAGCATCCAGCTATATATATAGTAGGTTCTCGAAATCTCATCGGCTCTCATTTCGCTTTTTCATCTACGTGCTCATCTTATTATACAGCATCTCCAGCAATACATACATAAATTCATCTGATTATTATAATATTATTATTTCTCCCTTTAGTTAATCAATTATCGGTGATAAATTTAGGAACCTTCTGTTCTTAAAAAATAAATAAATATATTAATTAAAAAAAAAAAAATAAATAAAATAGAAAAGAAGAATTTTGTCAGAATAAAAAAAAAATAATAACAAGCACAAGTGTATTATCACTTATCGGATGTTGGTGTGTATCATACTCTTTAACATGCAATATACATGCACCAATACTTGAGGAGCTTTCTTTAAACAGTAGTGTTCGTACGGGGGCCAGGTCGGCCATTATTTTTCGCGTCTACATATCCACGAGTTGTAGTAATATAGTTTCAACTGCGCGCGTTACTCAATTATTAAATAACACCCATTATTAAAATATTAAAATATTTACTATTTAGTCAACAACTCTAAATACAACAAAACAATTGTCCGAAATATAAATCTATACTGTTTAATGTAATGAAACTAAAAATTCAATCAGTATATAGTGCTTACTAGGAGGTAGATGATATCGGTAAGATTATCACTTAACATTTTAATTAATTTAATGATGGAAACAAACGACTACTGTTTACGCCCATTTCACATACAGTTACATCTACATGCTCACGTTATTTTAATATTAACACTGTATTATCACTTGCTTGTATGTAAATTACTCTATAAATATAATTAATAAATTTTGTTTATAAATTAGGATGCGGAATCAGGGGAGGAGAAAAATTTCAAGTGGTGGACAGTCAACTTGGTGCTAATTTAAAGACTGAATTTCAAGGATATTAATTGCTGAAGAAGGAAGCTAGCTGTGATTGATGATTATTCATTGATCATTCCAAGGGCTGACATTGTTTTTATTGAACAAAAAGCTTATAAATTGGTGGGGGTTACGCGTTTTGGACGCGGTGCCCACAACGGGCGCAGATGGGAGCTGGTTTTATAAATTTAAAGTGGGTGGTAAAACCCACAGTTGAACACTTACTATCGAAGGTGCCTAAATTATTTGAATTTTTAAATAATAAGAGTCTAGACCGCCGAGTCTTTGGTATCACACCTTGTACTGAATTGTTTAAACTCAATCAAGCTGGAATTGATGGAGTTGGAGAATATTGTAGCCAATACCGTTTATCTCAAAGCACGAGAAGGTATTTTTTTATGACACTGAAGTCAGCAGACGTCTAAAAATTTTTCATTTTTTTTATTAATTAAATTAAAACTAAAAAGATATTTATAAAAAAGTGCACTTATCATTTTTCAAGTTTTTTACATGTGAAATTTTTTTTCTTAATTGTTCAATTGAAATTATCTCAATAAAAATTTTCTAAAAATTTTGAAATGTCGGCTAACTTCATTTTTATATTTTTTTTTATTTATTTATTTATTTATTTATTCAAGTATTATAATTTATGTTTATTAAATTCCAGGCGGTGGTGACAGTAATAAAGGTAAAAGCAAAAAATGGCGAAAGATACTCCAATTTCCCCACATATCTCAATGCATTTATTTACAAGATAAGCTTGGTGAGTTTTTTTGAGTTTATTATTAATAGAAAATTTTTTTATTGAATTTTTTTTTGTTCAGATATTAAGTACAGCTATGTCGTTGATCAACAACCTATCGGGCGAGTGCTCTTTAGGCAATTTTGCCAAGATTTAAAACCTGCCTATCATCGCTTCAATCTTCTGCTGGATGCCATTGAAAAGTATGAAATAGAAATAGACGAAAATCGAACAGAGTTAGCCAAAGATCTGTATGAACAGTATTTGAAACACGAAAATTCTGAAGTTTCGGGCATTCTCAATGATTCGGTGATATCCCAGTGCGAGGAACGTATCAGTTCTGCGGGAAAAGATTTATTTGTTCAAGTGTCTTCGATTGTTAAAAACTATCTTGCCGGTGAACCTTTCTTGCAATTTCGTTCTAGTTTCTACTTCTATAGGTAATTTGTTTACATTAACCTTATTTTATTTGATAAATAATTAACTTGATTAAAGAAAAATAATTACAAAAGTTAAATGACATTAGAAATTTTTTTAGAATTTTACGGCAATAAAATTATTTATTTATTCAATTTAATTGACCCTAGAACAAGTGTTCCCTAAGGGCCGTAAAGTACAGAATAATACATTCATAGTGAGTAATTTTATATACCTAAAAGTCGAATATATATATTATATATAAAGTTAATTAATTTGAATTATTATGAAAAAAAATATAATAAAAAAATTCTATTTGTGAAATTTCAAAAAATTACTAGTGAAAATTTTTTTTATTTTAATTGATTTGTTATAAAAATTAACTATTGTCAGCTAATTTTAGTATCATAAAAAAATATTATTTTTGGTTCAAGTAAATTATTCTTGATTAAAAAATAATCAAACTCTTCAAAATTATTTTCTTGATTTAAAATTTTTTTCTTGAGTCAAGTTAATTTTTTAGTAATTATTTACAAGTTATTTACCATAACTAGGTGAAAAATTAACATTTTTAATTTTTTTTTTATTCTGCTTGTTTTTACGGCGCATTTATGATAAAAAATGAAGATTTCGATAGATTTCTGCCTTCAAAAATTGAAAAAAATTTTGTCCCATGTTTTTGGATTAAATTTTTACTTTAAATTTTTTCGAAAAGTACATTAAAAACGAACAATTTTTTTGAAAATTTGTAAAAATTGTCATCAACTTTTTTTTTTTTTTAAGTTTATTTTTTATGTAGTTTTCAAAAAAAAAATACATCAACAAAATTAAATAGAAATTTCGTTCAAAAAAATAAAAATTAAAATACACGGAAAGAACAAGATAACACTGGATATCATCCCAGATTATATTTAGTGATACCTGTGGTGAAAAAAAATTTCAGCTAATAGCTAAAAAAAAATCCAGATTATACTGCGTGATATCTGGATTATATACTAGCTACTATCTGAAATTTTTTTTCACTCAGTATAATTTGGGACGATATCCAGTGTCATCTTGTTCTTTCCGTGTGGTTGACCTCACTTGTAAATATTTACCAATTTTTTTTTATCAGTGTGTATTATTTAAAATAAATTTTTTTTACTCAACAATTAAATAAAATAATTTATTAACAGGTACCTACAATGGAAGTGGTTAGAATCACAGCCAGTAACTTACAAAACCTTCAGAATGTACAGAGTACTAGGAAAAGGCGGATTTGGAGAAGTATGTGCCTGCCAAGTTCGAGCGACTGGAAAAATGTATGCGTGCAAAAAGCTGGAAAAGAAACGAATAAAAAAACGCAAAGGCGAATCTATGGTACTAATAGAGAAAAACATACTCCAAAAAATAAACTCTAAGTTTGTAGTATCTTTGGCGTATGCATATGAAACAAAAGACGCACTCTGTCTTGTGCTAACAATAATGAATGGTGGTGATCTTAAATTTCATATTTACAATATGGGCGGTGAGCCAGGTTTTGATATCAATAGAGCTCGATTTTACGCCGCTGAAGTGGTTTGTGGTCTCGAGCATCTTCATCTTCAAGGTATTGTTTATCGTGACTGTAAACCTGAGAACATACTTCTTGATGATCATGGACATGTGAGGATATCCGATCTCGGGTTGGCAGTTGAAATTTCTGAAGGCGATATGGTGCGTGGTCGAGTGGGTACTGTTGGTTACATGGCGCCAGAAGTTATTGATAATGAAAAATACACCTTCTCCCCCGACTGGTTCAGCTTCGGTTGTCTCGTTTATGAGATGATCGAGGGTCAAGCGCCGTTCAGAGCCCGGAAAGAGAAAGTTAAGCGCGAGGAAGTTGATCGACGCGTCAAAGAAGATCAAGAAAAATACTCCCACAAATTTACCGAGGAGGCCAAGAATTTGTGTCAACAGTTACTGAAGAAAAATCCAAAGAATCGGTTAGGGTGCAAGTGTGGTAGATACGGTGCGAAGGAAATTAAGCTTGATAGTTTCTTTCAGTGCTTGAATTGGAAAAGAGTCGAGGCTGGTATGTGGGACCCGCCTTTTATTCCAGATGTAAGTTGGCGCTTAATTGAATTTAATTTTTTTATGTAAATAATCTATATTACTAAGAGAATAAGCGAAATTTTGTATCCAGGATGGTCATATGATAAAAACGTTTTTTTTTTTTTAGTGAAATTTAATGTCATTGCAAATCAATTTATTATGATAAGTATTTAGGCTGCATTCGAAAAGCTCTATCTCTAGATACATAATTAAGAAATGACCTTGTATCTTGTGAAATATTGACATTTTTAAAGATATAAGCTCATCCCGATAGTACACTCATCGACACCTTTCGTTTGAGTACCCACATCAATTTTTCATATATTTATATATATTTTATTATATATAATGTATTTCATATATACATATATATAATTTATATATATGTATATATGAAAAATATATCAAAAATGCATGTGGGTACTCAAATGAAAGCTCTTAAGGAGTGTAACATCGGGATGAGTTTATATTTATAAAAATGTCAATAATTAAGAAATACAGTGCTATCTTGTCAACTAACGATATTTTTAAAGATATAAGCTCATCTTGATGTTACACTCATCGAGACCTTTCATTTGAGTACCCACATCAATTTTTCATATATTTTATATATTTGTATATATTATATATATATATGTATGTATGAAAAATATATCAAAAATGCATGTGGGTACTCAAATGAAAGCTCTTGATGTGTGTAACATCAGAATGAGCTTATATCTTTAAAAACATCAATAATTAAGAAATGACCTTGTATCTTGTCAACTAATGATATTTTTAAAGATATGAGCTCACCCTGACATTACACTCATCGAAAGCTTTCATTTGAGTACCTACATCAATTTTTCATATATTTTGTATATTTATATATTTTACATACATGTATATATGAAAAATATATCAAAATGCAAGTGGGTACTCAAATGAAAGCTTTTGATGTGTAACATCAGAATGAGCTTATATCTTTAAAAAAGTACAGTGCAATTTAACAAAAGTCATTATTTAATAAAGCAAAATTTTATTTATTTATAATCCACAGAGTGACTGCAAGGTTGCTAGTAACAACATTAATAATGTAAAAAAATTTTTTTTTTAGCCTCACGCGGTCTATGCAAAAGATGTATTAGATATTGAACAATTTTCAACTGTAAAAGGAGTTAATTTAGACGCAACAGACGATACATTTTACAGCCAATTTAATACTGGCAGTGTCTCAATACCGTGGCAGACTGAGGTAATACTATTATGTCGAGTAACATAATTAATCTATAAATTGATTATAGTGATCAATAGTTTAAATCATGTTAGAGAAATGTAAAGTGTAATGAGATTACGTATTAAATTATTACAGATGATTGAGACTGAATGCTTCAAAGAGCTTAACGTACTCGGGCCAGATTGCTCACCCACGCCTGATTTATTAATAAATTATCCGCTGACAAATAATGATAGTCGTGGTTGCTTTCCATTTAGAAGAAAAAAAAAGCAAAATGCCCGAACAAGACAGATACCGATATCCGATGGACATTTACTTGAATTATCTCAGAGTCAAGGATCTGAATTGCCAGCCAGCTGATGACCTATGGTAAGCGTAGTAAATTTAACTACTGCTTCGGCAAAAGTTTGTTCATCTTCATCTAGGTACTTTTTATGTCGGAATTGTTTTATTGGTAATTCTACGAAATAATAATCTCACGTGATGTCACGTATGTATGTCTATACTTGACTACGTCAATTTAATATTAAAAAAAAATTTATCATTAAATAATTAATTGTTGGTGAGATGCGAGTAGAGGCTGTGAAAGCAGTTATTTAACCAGGCATTTTACAACTTTATTAATGAAATTAAAATTTTAAACAGCACAAAAATTTTCATTTGAAACTAACGCACTTTTCTATACTGTTAAACTTTTATTTATTTAGCTGTTTACTTGCTAAATTTAATTAATAGTGTTTCCTTTACTCAATATTTACTAATAATAATAATAATAATAATAATAATAATATTAATAATAAAAAAAAAATAATATTAATTAATGGAAATATAACTAATAATAGTATAAATTAAAAATATAATACCAAATAAATTTAACAAATTTGTCTCGGCTGAATCGCACATTTATAATCGATAATAAAAAAAGGTGTTTAAAATTAAAATTTAAAATAATGCACAAAATCTAACAGAGTGTCAATGTAAATTTAGTTATCAAATACTTTTTAATTTAAAAAAATTACTCTGACTTTAAAGAAATATATAGACTATATACATATACAAATACAGATAATGAAATAATACAGTAGCATTTTATAAACAGTAAAAAAAAGGTCGATATTTTGAATTAACGTCGAAAGGCTCAACAAAAAATGAATTATTGATATTTCGATAAATTCTACTTGTAATTATTGTGTAAATTTTTTTTTTTAATATTGTTAAATTTATTTTCTATCATTCCATTTATTGTACAATATTTATTACTATTATTATTATAATTACGGTTGTTAATTTTGTTTCTCTCGACGTAGTGTAACAATTAAACTGACGAATTCCATATAATAGGAATTATTATATTTAAAAATAATATTAAGCGAAATTCTGGATTTATTTATTAAATGATATTCGATTAGTTAATAATTATTTATGCAGTTAAGAAATTATTTTACAAAACAACACAGAAAGAAAGAAGATGACACTTGATATCATCCCAGATTATATTGAGTAAAAAAAAATTCAGATAGTAGCTAGTATAATCCAGATTACAATGAGTATAATCCAGATATTACGCAGTATAATCTGGATTTTTTTTTAGCTACTATCTGAAATTTTTTTTCACCTTAGATATCACTGAGTATAATCTGGTATGATATCCAGTATCATCTTGTTCTTTCCGTGAAATTAATCAAATAAAAATAGTGTAAAAAAAAACAAGAGACGGTAAACCGTTAAGCATTTTGACCGTCCGTTAAAATAAAAAATACGTATAACTATAGTGAATTAAAATTGGCTGCATGAAACGATTAGTTCAATTTGGATCACATCAAATAAGCTTATCGAACAAATTAAATAATAATAAAAAATAAAAAAACATAAACTATAGAATTGCAATTAAACTACTCGAGGGATTTGGTCTCCGTGAGACTTTTGTGTTATGGCCTATTCGCGTAGTAATTTTTTACGAATTTTTTTAAATCTTTACTTTTTTAAAGATAAAAAAAATATAATATCATTTATAAGAAGTAATAATTAATTCAAAATTATTTAATGAATCAATGTACGATTCAACTAGTCACAGTATTCATATAAATTATATATAAATAAAATAATTGCCCCACGAGCACTGCGCACTACAGCAACAGTGCAAGCAATCACCTATTATATAATAATAACAACAACAACAACAACAACAATAATAAATAATAACAGATACTATCATGATGATTATAATAAAATAATAATAAAAATTTGAATTAATATGTTGGAGTACATCTATAGTAATTGAAATGACAATTTATATTAATTATTTGTATATCAGGAATGTGGACAAGATAAGATCATAATAACCAATTACATTATTATTTCTGCGACGTTTCGGTCATATATTAGACCTTCCTCAGGTTCCCGAAAAAAATTTTTTTTCGGGAATCAACATATTTTTGAATGAAACGTGCAGTAATGCAAAAAAAAAAAATTTTTCCAAACTAAAAATTTTTTTGGACTTAAAAAAATAAATAGAATTTTTATTATACGGCTTTATGAAATTTGTAACGGGATATAAATTGTCACAAAATTAAAAAAATTGATAGATTTATTAAATAATAGTATTATAACAAAAATAAAGTATTAACATGTGTAATTTTCAGATGCCTGAGGAAGGTCTAACAAATAATAATAATAATAAGTTATTATGATCCTATCTTGTCCACATTTCTGATATACAAATAATTATTGATAATTATGGATGATAATAGTAACAACAATTTTTATTATTATATATATTCAAACCAATTACTTGTCGATGTCAATAAAAACCAAATAATTTCTTGTAATTATTACGCTCTTCAATAGTAATATTCTAGGAACACATACTTCATCGTAATTCTATGTTCGATAATAAAAAAAAAAATGGTAAGATGTGATCATGTGTAATTTTTTTCTATTTATTTTTTTTTTAATTAATTAATTATAATTGTATTTAATGTTGATCATTGATCATGCGAGATAAATTATTTATGAACAAATTTATAGTTAAGTTAAAAAAAATGAAAATTTAGTATTGCAAGCTACGGAATATATATTATTATAAAAAAATGTGTATGATTAGATCTGGCCATTTTTTATCGGTCTTAAAAATATGTAATTTTGGATTTAGTTATATATTTTATGTAAAATAAATCTCATTGATATAAATTAATAGGAGGATAATAAATATATAATAAGTGTCAGAAAAAAAAAAGCAAATAATCAGAGATATTTTATTTATATTGATATTTTATATTTCCATTATTTTTTACATATATTTGCATTATCTTTTGCCGGACGAAAGTCAACACCAAACAATGAGGTAGTATATGTATTATATATATTATATACACGATATATTGTCAATTTTTTTTTTTTTTTATTTATTTTCAATATATTATCGCTTGTGTTCAGATCCTAAATATTAATTAATACATTACTGATCCACTTTGTTTTTTGTTACTTTTTTCTTAAAATTGTGTAAATAAAAAGAAAAAATTACAAATTGTATATTAACAAAAAAATAATACTACATACTTATATAAAATTTATTAATATTTTCAGATAACTTGTCTTCAAGATAAAATTATTGTCTTGTAACAGTCGTACCGTTATAATTATAATATTTTAGTATTTATTATAATTAAAATAATCACCGTGAAATTTAAAGACGGAATCAAAAATTAAAAATACCTACGCACGTTTCATTGATTTAATTATTTATATAAATTAAGAACTCATTTAATTACAAGAATATACTCTGTAGGCACTCTCTAAAATTCTAAATGTTTTTTCTCATTCATTCTCGCTCATTTCGCGTGCCTAATACCCAAAAGGGCGTATTACAGCAGTTAGATAAGGTTCCATGCCAAAAGGGCGTATAAAAAAATTTTTTTTTGCCATTCTTTTTAGAATTGCTCGAAACGTAAAGATCTGCAGAAAAAAAATTTTTGACGTAATAACACCAAAAAGGCGTATAAAAACAATCAGGATTTTTCATAATTTCGAACAACAGTCTTCAAAATTGTCCGGAGAAAGTTTGTGAAAAAAAAATTTTGAAAAAGTCAACATTTTCGATAGTAGTAAATTTAAATTTTCATCATTTTGGACAGTTCAATGATTAAAAAAGCATATGAATTAAAAATTTTTTCGCGTACTAAAATTTTCATATTTTTTATAAATTTCCTTCTTTTTCGTTGCGTAAAATTGTAGTTAAAATCCATAATTTGTATGTATAGAATGAAAAACACCTTATAATAAGTAAGAAATTATTAACTAATCGTTAAAAAATTTTTTGAGCTGAGTATAGCTGAATATAGATCTGATGAAAACTCTTTTTGAAAAACGGGGTAAAACCCATATAATCCCAATTTTAGAAAATTTTTTATTTTCTTAGCGGGCAGTTAAAAATTATACGTCCTTTTGGTTTTAGATCACTAAATTTTCAGTGTTCTAAAGCTAAAAGTGTGTATAACTCAAAACATACGTCCTTTTGGCTTTGGGAAAATTTTTTTTCATTTTTAAGCTTAGAACATATTTACAAAACGATTCGCACCAAAAAAAAAAATTATACGCCCTTTTGGCATTTGGCACGCAATTTATCTAATTATTTTTTTTTTATTCATTTCTATTTCTATAGGTCAGATAAAAAATATTATTTCAGTTATTGATTTTTCTTTTTAAAAAATAACAATAACGATATGTTTGATCTGATGAACCTCGAAAGTGAATAGATAAGTAACATATTGTTTAAAAATACCAACAGAAGTATAAACCATATACACATACACTTAATCGCCTCTCTCGCATGATGGACTTTCTTAATTCTGTTTTGCTGGCAGTTTATTTGTTATTATATGTATTTTTTGTAGTATTATTATTTTTTTTTCTCATTTTATCTGAGTTATTATAATTACAATTATAATTATAATTATAACGTTAATTAGAACACTTAAATATACATTTATAATCTCATAAATTTATGCGTTTCAAGATGAAGTGATTTAACATGCTTGTTATTTGACATCTTCTTACAATATATCACTTCTTCAGTCAATACAATTAAAATATTATAATTATTACTTTAAAATTAATTATTTAAAAAGCATGGTCTGCTAATACCAATCGTTTGATAAATATTTATGGCTGGGAATTATTTATCTAACGATTTTAATAAATCTTAAATGTAATTAACAATTAAGCTCATAAGTAAATAAAAAAATATATTGCTACTTGGCTGCGAAAAAAAAATATTAATTTTTACATCGGTAATCAATTAATAAATTAATTAATTAAGTAGTGCGTAGGAAGTTACATTTGAGGCCGTTTGTATTATTTCTTCTTTTTCTTTAATTTACACTTGAGCAGGTTTAGATTTACCTACGACCACCATCAGCTTCTGCATTAATCTTGTTGTCCCTACTGCAACATAATAATATTAAATTAGTATTTTTCTACAAATAATAATTTTAATTATATTTTACTTTGGTCATAAATGTCGTTTTAATTTTTTTTACTATTTAATAATTAAAAAATAACTCAAAAAATTAACAATGTCGGCTAACTTTACTTTTATAATTGAGAGACATTTGATAATTTTTTAGAATTCAATAACAAATAAATTTTATCAATGAAATAATTTTTAAAAATTATAAATGCAATTATTTAAAAATAATTTTTTATAAATAATTTATTTGTTAAGGGGAATAGCCACTGTGAGGATCGGTCATTTTCGGGAATTTTTTTGACTCGGATAATAAAAGAATTTGGGGATTGGGTTTTTTTGTTTTATAAAGTATTCATTTAAGATCATTCTCCTAAATTTTGATTAAAAAATATCATCTTGTTACAAAGTTATAAGCATTTTTTTAGAGTACTAAAAAAATTTCCCCCACCACGGTGAGATCTCTAACTCAAAAACGGATTATCTAAAATAAAAAAACCAAACTCCGTTGTAATCTGCATGCATGTAGTTATCGTTTCAAGTAGGGGATTTTGAAAATTTGGATTTAAAAAAAAAAATGGTGACATTAAAAATTTTTTCGTTTTTTTTTTCTCATTTTTTTGGATTCAAACAGCCACAAAAAATTTTTAAAATCAAAATTTTCAAAATCCCCTACGTGTAACTATAGCTACTGAATAGACGAATACGGAAAAAAAGTTGCAAGTCGGTTCATATTTATGCAAATTACAGATCCCACCAGTTTAAAAAAAGTAGTTTCGAGAAAAACGCGTTTTCGTTGGGGCGCCGCGCGTGCAATGGTCATTTGACGCGCTGTCACAAAAATGACTATAACTCAAAAAATATTCGAAATTGTCATATAAAACTCTAGATACATATTTTTTAATCTCGATACTGCCATTCTAAAACGTCGTATTCCATATTTAGAAAATATTACAGTAGACGGTAAAAACAGTTCATTTTTAACATTGATTAAATGAGATTCAACTGATGAAAATATTTATTTAAAAATAGTTATTAAACTATTTGACCTTTAAATTTTTAATATGACTTACACGGAAAAAAGTAAACTGTAATATATAACAGTCGATTTATAATAAGTAATGATCAACTGCTAAAAATTACCATTTCAAACAGTAAAATTGTGATTTTACTATTCACTTTATAATATTTACTTACCATTTAAACGTTACAATTTATTATTTTACATGGAAGAAAATACTATTTCAAACAGTAAAATTCGCTATGTAAATGTCTAAAATGTTAAAGTATAATAATTAAGAACTCAGACTTTGATATTTATCATTTGGTACCTAAAAAATGATCTTATGATTTATAAAAAGTATAAAATAAAGTTAGTAAATTTCTAATATAAGCAACGTCAATATTTACAAAGTAAAATGGTAAATTTTAAACGCAACGCTAAAAATCAAACTGTAATTATTGACTTGCTAGGACTAGTAAAATGTATATTTTAAAAGTATAATTTTTACTGTTTCAAATGTTAATTTAAATTCTCCCAGAGTGAGACCTCCTTCTCTTTTATCTGAGTTCCCCTTCTCCTCATAATATGGACTATATATTGAAATGGCAATTTTTACTGTTTGAAACTGTAATTTTTTAAGATGAAAGAGTCGTTATTTACTATAGTGACATCTACTAATCACTTATTTTGGATATTAAATTATAAATTGTGGCTTTTATACTTTCTACATTAAATTCTGTAATATTTATGTTTTTGCCACCTCGATGTCCGCTTTACTGTTTGAAACTATAAAAATTAACTGGAATCCGAGTGAATATTACAGTTTACTTTTTTCCGTGTACATAATATCGCGTGCCAAATGCCAAAAGGGTGTTTAAAAATTATACGCCCTTTTGGCTTTGCAAAACCAAAAGAGCGTATAATTTTTTTTTTTTTTTTGGTGCCAATCGTTTTGTAAATATGTTCTAAGCCTAAAAATGAGAAAAAAATTTTCCAAAGCCAAAAGGGCGTATGTTTCGAGTTATACACCCTTTTAGCTTTAGAACACTGAAAATTTAGTGATCTAAAACCAAAAAGACGTATAATTTTTAACTGCCCGCTAAGAAAATTAAAAATTTTCTAAAATTGGGATTATATGGGTTTTACCCCGTTTTTCAAAAAGAGTTTTCATCAGATCTATATTCAGCTATACTCAGCTCAAAAAATTTTTTAACGATTAGTTAATAATTTCTTACTTATAATAAGGTGTTTTTCATTCATATACATACATATTATGAATTTTAACTACAATTTTACGCAACGAAAAAGAAGGAAATTTATAAAAAATATGAAAATTTTAGTACGCGAAAAAATTTTTAATTCATATGCTTTTTTAATCATTGAACTGTCCAAAATGATGAAAATTTAAATTTACTACTATCGAAAATGTTGACTTTTTCAAAATTTTTTTTTCACAAACTTTCTCCGGACAATTTTGAAGACTGTTGTTCGAAATTATGAAAAATCCTGATTGTTTTTATACGCACTTTTGGCTTTAGACCGATAATTTCCTAAAGCCAAAAGGGCGTATATCTTAAGATACACCCTTTTGGCGTTAGTATGTCAAAAATTTTTTTTCTGCAGATCTTTACGTTTCGAGCGATTCTAAAAAGAATGGCAAAAAAAAATTTTTTTATACGCCCTTTTGGCATGGAACCTTATCTAACTGCTGTAATACGCCCTTTTAGCATTAGACACGTGATATTGTTGTGATTCTATTTTTCAAAAAAAGTTAATATGTCGAATTTTGTGGGATACGACGTATTAGAATGGCAGTATCTATGTCTATATATAAACTTTGATTTAATAAAAAAAAAAAATTTTTTTTTTAATTTCAGTAGCTATCCCCCTTAAAGAAAAAAAAAAAACATTTATGACTCAGTGAAACTAAATAATTATAGATATAATACATGAATATTAATAAGTTATTTATAGTATGAAAAGTCACTCCGCGTTAAAAATCTCAAAGTTATTATACAGAATGATAAAACATACACAAGTTTGGTGCAAGTTAATCTTACTAGCTCACTGTGTGCTGTGTTAAGTATTGTGATAAATTATTAAATAATAAAACAATAAATATAATTATGTATAGTGTTTTAAAATAAAACCTGAGACTTTGGTCCAACGACTATCAGTGTCTTCTGCAAGTATTGAGTGACTGCGCCTGTGAAATTTTAATGATTATGAATGATGAAAATCAACGTCAAATAAACATACATTTTAATGATCATGAGCATGATTTATGGAGTTCAAATGATAAATGTCAGCAATACTTACCAACTGCACTTGTAAAGCATTTAGGTTTAGATTTCCAGGAGATAAACAACAGGTAGACAGGTACGGCGGAGAATATCATTAGACAACCATATCCCGTTTCAACAGGACTCGCGTACATTGGAACGATAGTCACGAATAGTGTCGCGAGGATGTAAAATATTGGAAAGATCAAGTTTACTTTTATTGGTCGTGGTAGGTTTGGTTGGGCCCACCTTAGCCAGGGAACACATAATACCGATACACCTATACTCAACTGAAAAAAAGTTTTTAGATACATTTATTGTCTTATGATTCAATTATATATTTTAGAAAGTAAAAATTAAAATTAAATTATTTAAAAAAAATTTTTTATGGAATTTTTTCATGAAAAGAAGAAATGTTAAAATATCTTTTAGAACATATCCAATGAAAATTTCTTCTGAAGTTAAAATGTTTATTGAAAATTGTAAGTTCAAAAATGATAGAAATTAATTTTTTTAGGTTGAAAAAATTAGTGAAAATTAAATAAGCATTCACTTGACCATTTTTTAATTTGGTAATTATTTACAAGTGGGGTCTACCATTTTAATTTTCATTTTTTTGAATATTTTTATATATATATTTTTTTTTTAATACATAAAAAAATGAACAGTTAAAAAAAATTGATTACCACAATTTTAACAAATTTTCAAAAAAATTCATAAATTCATTTTTTAGAAAATTGTGATATTCAACTTTTTTTTTAATTGTTCGTTTTTTTATGTGCTTTTCAAAAAAAAAATATATATATCAAAAACATCAAAAAAAGATAAAATAGAAATTTTATCCAAAAATATGAGCCAAAATTTTTTTCAACTTTTGAAGGCAAAAAAGCTATTGAAATATTAATTTTTTAATATTTTTGATATCACCATAAATCCGTTGTAAAAACAAGCGGAATAAAGAAAAATTAAAAAATATTCATTTTTCACCTAGATATGGCCAAAAATAGGTTTGATCTCACTTGTAAATAATTACCTTTGATTTTTATTTAAAAAACAAATTTCTTCTGAAAAATTATTTAAAAAAAATTTCATTCCTAATTTTTTTAAATTTCTACATGTCAATTTTATTTACCATAATTTATTATGAGAATGAAGTTAGCCGACATTTCAAAATTTTTTATTGAAATAATTTCAAACAATTAAAAAAAAAAAAATTCACATGTAAAAAAACTTGAAAAACTACAAGTGCAATTTTTTTATAAATATATTTTTAGTGTAATTTAATTAATAAAAAAAAATCAAAAATTTGTAGACGTCTGCTAACTTCAGTGTCATTAATTAATTTAGTACACAAATTTTTAAAGTTATTAAATATTTGTTAAATTAATTTATGAAAATAAAGTTAGCCGACATCTAAAAATTGTTCTATCCATTGAAAAATTAATTTAAATTAAATTTCACATGTAAAAAATTTAAAAAACTACAAGTTCAATTTTTTAAAAATATTTTTTTAAGTTTTAATTTAAATAATGAAGAAAATGAAAAAAAAATTGATTTTTAGCTTTTAAAAGTTTATGTAGAATACTATTTATGTCTTGAAACTAGATCTAAAAAAATGATAAAAAATAAAATAACATAAATAAATAAACATACCCAAGTTGCAAATCCAACATAATTTATCAGAGCATTAATATTTGATGAAGCTAAATAACACATTGATAAGAGTGCCTGGAATGAATAAGGTTTTGAAATATGTAGTCATAAAGAAATAACTGGTAGTGTATATATAATAGTATAGTAGTAAAAGTTATTACCATGCAAATGACAGCTGGAGCAGGAGTTAATCTCGAAGTCTGTATCATCGTAAGAATTTCCGGCATTTGTCCTTCACAAGCACCCGCATAAAATAACCGAGATGAAGTCAATAGTATTCCGTTGACAGCACCAAATGTCGAGAGGGCAACGAATACCGGTATCGTCCAGGCCATCACTCCAAAAAGTTTATTCGCAAACGTCTGGAATAATTCCATGCGAGTGAATAATAATTACAAACTGTATAATTATAAAATATTTTTTTTTTTTATTTTCAGCTCGAGTAAATATTCATGAGAATTAAATTACAGGAGAGAATAATAAAGTAAACGATCTGTGAATAAACTAAGATAATTAGTACTTACAACGGCGACAGCTTCACTAGAGAGTACTTGTTTGGGACTCAAAGTCGTGTAGAACGCCACGTTCGTTAAGACATAGACAACTGTACAGAGAGTACAAGAAATTGCAATAGCTCGGGGCAGATTTTTAACTGGATCCTTGAGCTCCTCGATTATGAAATTCAGGTAATTCCAGCCATTGTAAGCGAATAAACCAGAATAAAAACTCAGAGCTATCGAGGTTACTTCGGTTTTACTCCCGTCGAAATTAAAGTGTTCAGTGTGTCCTTTAATTTTTTAAATAATATCATTAATTCATTAAAGTATTACACACTTGAAGCTTGAAAAAAAATTAATTTTTTAATAATACTAAAGTTAGCCGACGTTTTCAATTTTTTGATTATTTTTCATTTATTCAATTAGAACTAAAAAATATTTTTAAAAAATTGCACTTGTAGTTTTTAAAGTTTTTTACAAATGAAAATTTTTTTTAATAAAAAATTATTAAAATTTTTAGATTGTCGGCTAACTTAATTTTCATAATTTTTTAAATGTACACAGAAAATAAAATTTTTTGAATCAAGTAAATAATTTTGAAGAACTTTATCTTCTTGATTTGAGTAGAAAAATTCTTAAACGAATAAATTGTTTTTTTTTTTTGTTCAGTGCATGTATATTTAATTATACGCACAAAAAATTTAATGTCTATTGAACAAGTTTAACTTATTTTTGTAAATTTTAAACATCTTTTTTTTAACACTGTCTTTTCAAAGTAAATAATACTAAAGTTAGCCGACGTTTCTAATTTTTTTTTTTTCATGTATTAAATTGGAACAAAAAAGTATTTTTTAAAAATTGCACTTAAAGTTTTTCAAGTTTTTTACAAGCTAAATTTTTTTTTCTAATTTTTTTGAAATAATTTTTTCAATAAAAAATATAAAAATTTTTAGATGGCTAACTCAATTTTCATGTAAATAAACAAAATTTATTAAACAATGGCTGATAAGACCAGTCTCAAATTTTCACACAATTTTTTTCAACTATATTTTTTAATAATGGATCTAGAGATTAATTATTCCGATAAATATTCGATATTTTTATAAACAATTTAAGATGAAATTTAAATTAGCAAACACTTGAAAATTTCTTTATTACTAGGTCTACAAAATGAAAATTAAGTTAGCCGACACAAAAAATTTTTGATTTTTTTTTAAATTAAAAATTAGAACTAAAAAACTATTTTTAAAAAATTCCACGGATAACTGTTTAAATTTTTTACATGTGAAAATTTTCGTTTTAATTTTTTAAAAAATATTTTTCAATGAAATAAATTATCAAAATTTTTAAATGTCGGCTAATTTAATTTTCATGTCTACAAAATTATTTAAAAAAAATTGCATTTGTAATTTTTTAAAGCTTCTATATACGAATTTTTTTTTTTTTTTATAATTTATTTGTTAAAAAAATTATCAAAATTTAAGTCTAAAATTGTTATAAAAAATTGTAATTTTTTTTTCAAACTTCCATTTTATTAAAAATATATATTTTCATATTTCTTCAATTAATCATTAGATAATATCTAATATTAATAGAATTTTTTTAGATTTTTGATTTTCGATGATTGAAACTGATATTGCGCTCACCGCAAGACACCTTTTTTTTATAGGACCTCCCGGAGATCTTCTATAGGCTCAAGAAAAGTCATTATATATAAAAAGAAGAAAGAATATTCAAGTTCAAAGTCACGACTAGATATCTAAAAATTTTTAGATTAATCATTGAAAAATCTTCTTCAAAAAAAATGATTAAAAAATGACTAGTGAAGACTGACTGTGGAAAATTTGATCAACCCTAAACTAATAATGTATAATAGTAAGCAGTACTTATGAGATTTATTTTTAAATCGACTTGTGAAGCATTATACTTTGTACACTTGTTTCATTCCATTTGAAATTTAAATAGTTCAATTTATTGTGGTGATTCTTTGAGACGTGCGATCGAATAGCACATAAAGTTCTTCTTATAATTCTATACGAACAGACATTACTTGATTCGACTTTTTGATTGGACAAATTGTCACGTCCGGCTACGGAATTATGCTCAAAGGAATATAAAACCTCAGAGATATTTATACATTACATATATGTAATGTATAGATAACTTATTATTTTATTAAAAAAAAAAAAAAAAGCAAGTAAAAAGCTTGATTTTTTCCGTAGATTTTTAATTTTTTGTTCCATTATTTGTTATTACTTATAATTTATAAAAACAACTTTTACATACCTTTGCAAAGTTGATATCCACCAGCACTTATGATTACCAGTAGAGCCAGTAATTTTGCGTATGTGAAAACATCTTGAACTCTTGTTGCCCATTTAACGTCCCAGCAATTTACAAATGCCAGCGTACCTATAAAAAGTAATTCAACGATAAGTTAATTATACGCTTAGATGTAGGTTTATTATTTAATTATATATTTGTTTAAGTATTTCAATTTTTAATTTCAATAACAAACACGATTTATTTTTCCAGGTACCGAACGGTCAACACGTAATTGAAATTTAAATAACTGCTCTAGGACTAGATCGCTCGTCAATAAATTTTAAATATCAAAGCAATTATCTGCACTGGTAATGGAAAAGAAAATATATATATGCTAGGTTGACTCAATTTTAAATTATTGGATAATTTACCAAGACTTACATATACAAACAACGGCTAATAATCTTGCAGCATCTTCCGGAGGTGAACAGTCCGGAAAGAATGGTTTAAGAACATAAATACTAAATGTTAGAGCAACAATTGCTTGACTGCAAGGTCTTACAATCATACACTCAACCCAAAGACGGATAAATGCTGCAAATGGTCCAAATGTTTCCATTATATATGCGTAGTCTGCTCCAGATTTTTTAATCATACATCCTAATTCTGCGTAACAGTAAGCTCCAACCTTTTTTAAAAAATTTATAATAATTTATTTAAAAAATATTTTTTTTTAAATAAAATTTTTAATACATTTTTTTTAATAAAATTTTCAATACATTTTTTTTAAATTAAATCTTTTAATTAAATTTTCAATAAATTTTTTTAATATAAAATTTTTTTAAAATGATATTTTCAATAAATTTTTTAAAATGAAATTTTCAATAAATTTTTTAAAATAAAATTTTTAATACATTTTTTTTTGATTAAATTTTTTTATAGATTTATTTTTTTAATAAAATTTTCATTAAATTTTTTTAAAATGACATTTTCAATAGATTTTTAAAATGAAATTTTCAATACATTTTTTTAAATTAAATTTTTCAATAATTTTCTTTTTAAATTGAATTTTCAATAAATTTTATTTACATAAAATTGTTTAATAAATTTTTTTAAAATGAAATTTTTTCAAATAAAATTTTTTAATCAATTTTTTTTTTTAAATATTTTATAATAATGAATTATCAAATATTAATACCATCGAAAAAATTCCAGATGCAGTCCAAACAATAAGAGCGACATTAGTACTTCCTGTGTGCATTATAACACCAGTTGGGCTGACAAATATCCCAGAACCAATAATTGAACCAACAATAACAGTTATTCCATTGAGAAGTGACATTTTAGCTTCCAATTTAATTTCTCCATTATCTTCGTCCTTTTTATCAGCATTAATAGCCAGCGAATCGTAAGATCCTTTACCATTTTTGATGCTACCTTTCGTAGACATTTTTGTACTGTTTCTAAATCCAAAAAATCAAAATTAATTCAGCTGAATTAATTAGTCATTAATTAAAAAAAAAAAACTTAGTCTATAAATATAAGATATAACTATTTTTGGAGATAATAGATTAATATGAAAAATAGACTCACAATCTTCAAATGCGTAATGATAATAATAACAAGTCGTAAGGAATAATATATGCAACACTTGTATGCTTATTATCACAAAGATAAATGTTGAATGTATAAATAATAATTAAAGTAGTTCGATTTAATGATTATGATACGGTATTTCCTATTTAATATAAGAAATCGATTTTAGTAAAAAGTGTTGCGTGAAATCAGTGGACGAGTAGACCTAATTTTTTTTTTACACAAAACAGACACTGATAAAAGTGAAAGACCGGGTAAAAAATTAAGCACAGCCGAATTTATTTCACAATTATATTATGTAAAAGATAATAAAAACTGAATGAATGTTTAAAAATCGTGGTCTGGTTCTAAAACTTGCGTCAACTAGTGATAGTTATGTTACAACTGGTGACGCTCTGAGAAAATCAATACACCACGTGGATCAACGACTTGTGATTTTTTATTTAAATTATTAACGTCATTACTTTAAATGATTATAAACAATATAAATATGACAATAATCATTTGATAAAATAATTTATTTGAATAGAAAAAAAAAAAAAAAAACAAATTATTACTGAGACGCTTGAATCGACTTTATAAAAACTAGCATAAATTAATATTTGATTATTTTATTTAATAAATTAACTTTAATTGTATAATAAATAACTCTCACCTGTGCAAAAAACTTAGATATTAAAATTTAGAGAATAATTCACCACTAATTATTTTTTTTTTTTAACTTTTAATTATAAAACTAATTTAGAGATCACATATGATTCAAAGATGAGATGGACCGCTCAGCGGCCGAGTATCTGAATAGGTGTCCTTATTTGTACCTTTATATTTAATATTTATCTATCTATCTATTTATCCTTCTATCTATCTATCTGGTTGCTGTGTAAAAGCACTCGTAAAAAATGCCGCTACGATCCTTATATCAGAGAGTTTCTGCGCGTAAAACGCGACCGTCGCTCGACTTAACGCGCTCAATACAGTCCCCGTTTACGTATATAATATTCGAGGAAAGAGAGTAGAGAGCAAGTAAAGAGAGAACAGAATGAACAGAAGGTCGGGGGGTGAGATACGTCGAGGATGTGGGGATAGAGGAAAAAAATCGAAAAATAGATAAAAGGTCTTTCTCTGGGTTTTGGGGGGGAGGGGGGGGTTGACAATAGATCTATTTGTTCGGTTATAATATATAAAATAAGTTCATTCAATATTTCTTCTTTTGTATTTTAAATACTGTTGAATTTTCGATGCTTGTTAATATTATTATTATTACTTACACTCATTATGCAACTGAATAATTTAAAAAAAAAATCAATAATTTCGGTACTAATTTCTGTTTAAAGAAGAATATAATTAATGGATGATTGAATAATAATTGTTTAAATAATTAATTAATTTAATTACAGGGGTGAAGACTATTGAAGTGAAAAAAGAATTTATTTATTTTAAAGTAAAATAAATGTTATTTAATATGTTTTATATTAAATAACAAAACAAATAATTTATCTTTGCAGATTAAAAAAAAAAAGCGCTAAATTAGCAGATTTAATAAAAGTTTTTTTTTTTTTTTTTTTTCAGTATCAGCATATCCTTGAAATTTATAAAACCAGCTTCAATTCATCGAACAGATATAGACAAACCAGACAATTCTCCAAATGGAATAGATATATACCGCTTCATGCTCATGAATATTAATTAATATCTTTATATTTTAAATAATAGGCATGCCTTGTAATTTATATGTAATGACGATTTTTAGCGTCACATCTTTAACTTTATTCGCTCAGAGATTCCAATAGTTTGCTGCTATTTGACTAAAATTTACCGTAATTATTTAATGAGAATAATTAAACAGTAAATAATGCACTGAGCAAATATAGTTGTCATCACTCATCCTCACAGCAACTAATTATTTATTGTACCAATGACCTTCATGTCTTCATTATTAACTATTCTCGTTATTAAATGCGTAACTATTTCAATTAAAAAATTTATAATTGCTGTAATGTATTTAATGTGATTTTGAAACTTGTTTGTGTTTTACTTTGTTAATATATAATATTTATTAATACATTTCTTCAGTGATAACATTTGTCTATGTGTGCAACCATTCAACTGTGGAAAATAATAATCAATCAACTTTTGTTTTATTAATCTGTACTTTTTGCGTACTTTTATCTATATTTTATAATTTAATAAATTATAATGATGCTAAAATTAATAATTAGTTGATAAATAATTTTCGAGATCTTTCTAATAAAATTAATTTCTGAATATTTTTTGAAAATTAAACTGAGATCAGCAGATACTTTTTTGTTTTATTTAATAGAGCTTTTTTAAATAGAAATTTTTAATGTGTAAACTTTTTTTTGCAAAATATTTTTAGAATTTTTTTTAAGGAAAAAATTTATTACAAAAAAATAAAAGAACATTTTATTTGTAAAAAACTTGAAAAACTATAAGTGCAATTGTAAAAAATTAAATTTTAGTTTTAATTTAATAAATGAAAAAAAATCAAAAATATCGGCTAACTTTAGTATTTTAAATTAGCAAATACTTGACAATTTTTTTTTGAAAAATATACTAGATCTAGAAAATTATTTATAAAAAAATTAAACTTATAATTTTTTAAAGCTTCTAAAGATGGAATTTTTCAAATAATTTTTTTTTTTTTTTATAATTTAATTGTTAAAAAAATTATAAAAATTATCAGATTTCTCTCAATTCGTGAAAATTAAGTTAGCTTACATCTAAGAATTTTTATAAATTATTTTATTGACAAAAATTATTACAAAAAAATTAAAAAATAAAAATTTCATTTGTAAAAAATTTGAAAAACTGTAAGTGCAATTTTAAAAAAATATTTTGTAATTCTAATTTAATAAATGAAGAAAAATCAAAAAATCAAAAATGTCGGCTAACTTTATTGTTATTTCAACATGAAAATTAAGTTAGCCTACATCTAAAAATTTTTATAAATTTTTTTGACAAAAATTATTATAAAAAAACTAAAAAAAAAAAAATTCATTTGTAAAAAATTTGAAAAACTGTAAGTGCAATTTTAAAAAAATATTTTGTAATTCTAATTTAATAAATGAAGAAAAATCAAAAAATCAAAAATGTCGGCTAACTTTATTGTTATTTCAACATGAAAATTAAGTTAGCCTACATCTAAAAATTTTTATAAATTTTTTTGACAAAAATTATTATAAAAAAACTAAAAAAAAAAAAATTCATTTGTAAAAAATTTGAAAAACTGTAAGTGCAATTTTAAAAAAATATTTTGTAATTCTAATTAATAAATAAAATAAAATCACAAAAATGTTGACTAACTTTATTATGAAAATAAAGTTATGACACTGAAATCAACAGACGTCTAAAAATTTTTGATTTTTTTTATATTAATTAAATTACAACTATAAAGATATTTATAAAAAATTGCACTTATAATTTTTCAAATTTTTTACATGTGAAATTTTTTATTTAATTGTTTAATTGAAATTTTTTCAATAAAAAATTTTTCAAAATTTTGAAATGTCGGCCAACTTCATTTTCATAATAAAGTTAGCTGACATTTAAAAATTTTTTTTATTAAAGAATTATTACAAAAAAATAAAAAAAATTTTTTTAATTTGTTAAAAACTTTAAAAACTATAAGTGCAATTTTTTAAAAATATTTTTTAGTTATAATTTAATAAATTATGCAAAATAAAAAAAATCAACAATGTCGGTTAACACTTTATTATTATCTCCATTTGAATTGTCATTTTTTGAATTCATAAAAACTTGGGAATCCCTACTGTACCGATTTGAATTTTAGCGCCACCTACTTCACAGAAAAGCAAGTAAATGCTTGGGACCTTTTTCTATCTCTTTTATCGTTCTTTCCTTTCGTAACTGTATATCCGAAACGATTGAAAATGTAAGTCTTGTTCAATTATTTAATATTTTAATACAAATAAATAATTCAAAATAAATAAATTCTCATTTTAATCAGTCAGATAATTTTTTCTGTTCATAAAATTACAAAAATGTTCAATAAAATCTCTAAATTATGAATTTACTTATAAAAAATCACCACGTGTATAAAATGTTTGGTTAAGTGATTGATATAATCAATAATTAACTTATTCCACTAAAGTTGTGTTATTATTATTTTTATAATAAATAATATTAAATTAATATTATTTAATTTTAGAAAAAAGTTTTGAAAAATTAGCAAATTTAATTAAATAACTCAATTTTTTTAAGATGGCGGACACAGCTCCAGCCGCCAGAGGTGGCTTCCGTGGAGGTTTTGGCTCACGAGGTGGTACCGGCGACCGCGGTGGACGTGGTGGTCGTGGACGAGGAGGTCGCGGTCGAGGACGCGGACGTGGTCGTGGCAAGGAAGACCAAAAGGAATGGATCCCAGTAACCAAGCTGGGTCGTTTGGTGAGAGACGGAAAGATCCGTTCTCTTGAAGACATCTATCTCTTCTCCTTGCCCATCAAGGAGTTTGAAATTATTGATCAATTTATTGGGCCATCTCTCAAGGATGAGGTGCTCAAGATCATGCCTGTACAGAAACAGACCCGTGCCGGTCAACGTACTCGTTTCAAGGTAACATTTTTATAAATTAATCTGTTGATTTCATGATTCGGAAATTGAAAGATGAAAATTAACATTTAAAAATTTTTAGAATTTTTTTTTCATTGAAAAAATTATTACAAAAAATAAAAAAAAAATTTCATTTGTAAAAAACTTTAAAAACTGCAAGTGCAATTTTTAAAAAACATTTTTTTGTTCTAATTTAATTATTAAAAAAAAATTAAAAACGTCGGCTAGCTTTAGTATTATATTTGATAATTTTTTAGAATTCTATAACAAATTATACCAATAAAAAAATTTAAAAAAAAACAAAATTCCATAAGTAAAAAGTTAAAAAAATTTTAAATGCAATTATTTGAAAAATAATTTATTTGTTAAATAAAATCTAAACAAATTTAAATGTCTGCTAATTATGGCACTAAAATTAGCAGACATTTTGTTCTATTTGGATTTAATTTAAAAAACAAATTAATTATACAAAATTGCTCTTATCTTTTCTTTTAATCTCTAGATGTGGAATTTTTTTATGACATTAAAGTTAGCAGTCACTTCACAATTCTTTAACTTTATTTAAGAAACAAATTTGTTCCAAAAAATTATTTAAAAAAAATTGCATTTTAAATTTTGACATGTCAATTTTTTCTAATTCTTTTTTGCCATAATTTGTTTGTTATAAAATTATTAAATATATGTTAAATTAATTTTCATAATTTTTTTTCAAATTTTTTCATTACTAAATTTTGTCATAAAATTTTAGAAAATTATCAAATGTTTCAACTTCAGAATCATCTGCTAATTTAAGTGTCATTTTAATTTCACTAAAATGTATAGAGAAATTCCGATACTTATTTACAAATTAAATTTTCACCAGGCTTTCGTCGCTATTGGTGACAGCAACGGCCACATCGGTCTCGGAGTAAAGTGCTCCAAAGAAGTAGCTACTGCTATCCGTGGTGCCATTATCTTGGCCAAGTTATCAGTAGTTCCAGTCCGTCGTGGATACTGGGGTAACAAGATCGGTAAGCCCCACACCGTACCTTGCAAGGTAACTGGCAAATGTGGATCAGTCCAAGTACGTTTGATCCCAGCTCCAAGAGGTACTGGTATTGTGTCGGCCCCAGTCCCCAAGAAGCTTCTGCAGATGGCTGGTATCGAAGATTGCTACACCTCTGCTCGTGGTTCCACTTGTACTCTTGGTAACTTCGCCAAGGCTACTTACGCAGCCATCGCCAAGACCTACGCTTATCTGACCCCAGATTTGTGGAAGGACATGCCACTCTTGGAGGCTCCTTACCAAGAACACGCCGACTGGTTATCCAAAAATCACCGTGCTGTTACTGGTCAAAGAAGTGCTGATGCTGTTTAAATAATTTAATGGCTATTCAATAAACGCCTCATGAAATAAATTTATTTTTTTGCTTTTATTTCTTTATTGTCCTATTAATTAATTTTAAAATTTAATTATTTATTTAGTTTTTTATTTTTTTTTCAAATATTACAATTAAAAATTTCAATACTCATCAAGTATTTTTTTTAATTAATTATTTATAATTTTTTTTTATGATTTCCAAAATATTGAGAAAAATATGGAGTAAAATTTCATAAAAAATAAATTGTATATAAGATTTCTTAAAAAATAACAATTTGTTTTGTAAGATTGACAAATTAGAAAGTTTAGGTGAATTAATATATTGCTAATAAAACAAGTAATTTCATTATTTGTCTAATTTGTATGAAAAAAAATTCAAAAATTAATTAAAGATTCTTTAAAGTTCGAATTCGTTTTTGTAAGTTCTGTTGGCTCTTGATCAAGCCCAGTAATCGAATAATTAAATAATTAATGGTGCTTATCTTCGTAGATGCCGCTCGTGGTCGAAATGGGCGACCTACGCCGATTTCCTTAAAATTTAGTGGAAGGGTTCTCTACTTTGAGAAAAAAGTTACTTCCCAAGCAGCACAAAAATTTTTTTGGTAATATTTTGTTGAATTTAAGTTAACCATTATTAATTTTTGACTTCTTGTTAAATAAAATTTACCAAAAAGCCAACACTTTTTTATGTGACGCGGGTTGAAAGTTTTAACTCTTAATATGCAGCCGTTTCAAAGTTATGCATTTTTGAAATTCTGAAAGAAAATTTTTTTTTAACTTTTTCATCTATTTTTATGACATTCAAGTTATAGCAGTCATGTGATTATTTTTTAATTTTTTTTTAACAAATAAATTTGTTGTAAAAAATTATTTTTAAAAAGTTGCATTTAAAATTTTTTTAAATTTCAATTTTTTTTGCAAAAATTATTAAATATCTGTCAAGTTAATTTTGATAGAAAAAAAAATTGACGTATAGAAATGATACTGAAATTAGCAGACATTTGACAGTTTTTGGAATTTTTATAATCAATCAATCATTATAAAAAATATTATTTAAAAAATTCGCACTTTTAATTTTATAAAATTTCTAAATGACATTAAAGTTAGCAGTCACTTGATAATTTTTTAATTTTATTTAATAAATAAATTTGCTCCGAAAAATTATTTCTAAGAAATTGCATTTTTTATTTATTTAATTTCCTAAATGTCAATTTTTTTTTTTTTTCATTTTCTTTGACATAATTTAATTGATAAAAAAATTCTTAAAATTATAAAATATCTGCTAAATTAATTTTCATAATTTCTAAATATGTAAAATTTTTTTAACTATAATTCAATTGTTATAAAAATCTAAAAAATTGTTGTCTATTAGATTCAGTATCACATATAGAAATCTTAAAAAATAAAAATTGCAATTTTTTGAAATAATTTTTTTGAAAAAATTTGCTTGGTAAAAAAAAATTAAAAAATGGTGAAGTGATTGCTAATTTTATAGTCATAAATTTCTTATAAAAACAAAATCCTATTTAAATAGAAAATAATAAAATTTAAAAAAAAATAACTAGTATGTATAATTTCATATAAAATTTCTTAAAAAATTAATCATAAGAAGAAATAACACTAAAAAAAAAAAAAAAAAAAAAAAGAAATTATCAATTAAATAAAAGTTTTCCCCTTCACGATAATTAATAATTATTTATAAATTATTTTAATAAAAAGAACAAGAAATATTGTCCGACAGATGTCGTTAGCGGTTGACTGAATGACGTAATAAACATACATTTTGTAAAGCATCATCGGTGTACGTAAATACACTAAACCCTACTGAGGCATTTATCACCAACACACAAGTGCTTACCTCCCGTACTCTATTCATTAGCATTACATACACCAAACACTCAATATACAATATACATTGCGTGTTGGTTAGTTATTTTCTTCACCGTACTCACGTACTTTTATTACACTATTTTTCCAACACCCAATACAAGTGCGATACAATAAATATATCAGTCATAACAAAAAATGATAATTAAAATCATTGAATAGCCATAACAATGACAGTGTGGAGAAAAAAAGACGGCTACAATGCCGTAGGTAAGTACTTTAATTATTATTACTTTATTAAATTTAACATTTTATTACACAGAATACAGATAATAAATAAAATACTTGACGTCAACATCCTGGGTGGTGCCTAACACTCGCTAAATCATCAATTAAATAGATTATTACAAGTATCTATAAATTGTCAGCAACTTGTTTCACTCTTTTATTAATCTGTTTGTTTTGTTCCAGCTATTTATAATTATTGGCACCATGGAGATCGGAGTCTTAATTTAACTGTAGGGGACGTAATAGAAATAATTGGTGAATGTGATAATTGGTACTATGGTAGAAATAAGCACAAGGGATCCAAGGGTATGTTTCCTAAATCGTATACACACATACTATTACAGCCTGTTAATTCTGATGTATTGATGCATGAAATAACAAGTGTATTACGAGAATGGGGACATCATTGGAAACATTTATATGTTGTAAGTATTTACTATTATAATAATAATAATCATAACAATAACAACTATTTTATTTATGACTAACTACTTGATTTATTTTAAACTCAAGGTATTTTAAATACCGCATGTCTCATGAGTCTTTCCTTTTAAATTATGGTAATTTTTTAAATATCTTCTGAAGATATCTTTTAATTCATTTTAATTAATTGCAAAAATTTATTTTATTATTTTACAGATTTTTTTTAAGATTAAACGAAAAAAATTTTTTATTGAAAATTACGTAAATTTTTATATTGAAATTGAAAGACTTGAAAATTTTTATGACTAATAAATTATATCAAGAATAATTTTTTAAGGGTGACATGAGTGTCCTCCGGAGAAAAATGCCCTATTTTATGAAAATGAAGTTAGCCGACATTTCAAAATTTTTAGAAATTTTTTATTGAAAAAATTTCAATTAAAAAAAAATTACACATGTAAAAAACTTGAAAAACTATAAGTGCAATTTTTTAGAAATATCTTTTTAGTTGTATTTTTTTTTTTTTTTTTTTTTTTTTTAAATTTATTTAAAGTCGCATAAACTACTAAGGTCATGAGCGACTACGGTAGGGGGTAAACTTTTGAGATTGGAACTCGTTTGTATTTCTTGGGCTGAGCAGAATAATGCACTTAAATATTGAAAATATTCATTGGTGTACGCCGGACTCGAACCCGGTCCAATGCTTTGGTAGCAAGGGCCGGATCCGATAGGCTACTGCGCGGCTAGTTGTAATTTTATTAATAAAAAAAATCAAAAATTTTTAGACGTCTGCTAACTTCAGTGTCATTCTATTTTCAACAAATTTTTTTTTAATAGAAAAAATGAAATATTTTATTCAAACTTTTTACTGTCTTAAAGATACATGTTTAATAAGAGATTACTGAAATTAAAAAAAAAATATTAAAAACTCTGCTAATGTGACGTCATTTCCGGCGAGCCCGCGAAAAAAAGATGCGTCCGCGTGGACAGCAGAACTAGCACAATCATTAGAAGTGAAAAAAAAATATGTTAAGACTTCAAACAAGGTCTTGAAAGAAGGAAAAAAAAATGAAAATTGGATTTTTGGCAGAGGTTTTTACAAAAAAATTAAAAATTTGACTAAAATTTCGCGGCATTTTTTTTTTAATAGTTGAAATTGAAAAAAAAATCCTTCGTTCAAAACCTTGTAAATTATATCTCGGAGATCTGTCTAAAATTTCATCAAGATCGGCTGAGTAGTTCTCGAGAAATCTTGGCTACCGTCTTTGAAAACATAGTTTTGAGAAAAACGCGTTTAAAATTTTGAGTGAGAATACAACAGTGCTTTGAGCGCGCAAATTTTTAAAGCGCAACTTTTAAACTATTATTTGGATCGATTTGAAACTTTAGGACAATATTCTAGAGATGTAGATTTTAATAAGACAAAAAAATTGATTTTTTGAAATCGTGAAAATGTAACCCCTTAAAAAACTATAAGTATATTTTTTTAAAATTATTTTCTAGGCTTAATTTATTATTAAAAAAATTATCAAGTGTTTGCCAATTTAAATGTCGTATTTTTTTTTAATTTCACCGGAAAAATCAATAAAATAAATCAGGAAAGCTTGATTGTGGTTTCTAGATAACAGAAATCTATTTTAAAATTTTATTAAATATTTATTTATAAAAATAAAAAAATTTTTCTTGAGTATATAATATTATTTTAAATATCAGAATAAATCTTACTATCTAAAATTTATTCTTTAAATTTTAAATGATACTCTTAAAAATTTAATTGACGAAATTAACTATCTAAGTAAAATATAATTTTAAAGTAAGAGAATAATAAGTAATTTTTCTGAGTAAAACTCAATTTAAAATAAAACAAATGTATTTAAGATTTAAAAATTACAGTGACTTGTGAATGAGTCACAGGCTTTCTATGTCATTTAAATTCATCGTGGATGACCAAGCGACTGGATTTTTATTTTAAACACTTGATAAAATTTAAGGTCACGTTAGATATAATAATTTGAATTGCAGATAAACTCGTCAAACTTTGGTGCAATTCAACAGCAAATACTCGAATTGATTGGCTTCAGAAGCAAAATTTTAAGCGGGACGTTGACAGTTGACGAGCTAAAGGATGTCAAGCGATTAGCTACGGCTTGCATAGACGCGGGCAATCAGCTCCTGGGTCTGGACATGGTAGTGAGAGATAATCAGGGAAATATCTTAGACCCCGAGAAAACTAGCACCGTCCAGTTGTACTACCATCACCAGATCGCGTCCGAAAGAATCCGGACGACGACAACCGACACCAAGAAGAAGTCATTGAAACCTCAAGTACCTGTCTATTCTCATGTATTCTTCGTAAGCGTACGTAATTTCGTCTGTAAGATGACTGAGGACGTCGAGCTACTTCTGACGCTCTATGATAGCAAAGAGGGAAAAGCTATAGCTGAAAACTATGTTGTCTC